ACAGGCAACCTATTCCATTCTTAGAAAAGTCTTCCTTCACTTTAGCTGGCATTTGCCTTCCTGTAAGGTTATGCTTGTCTTCTGGTTATCACCAAGAACTGGCATCTCCTTTCCCCCAGATGGCCGTAAAATATTTGATTAGTTGTGATGCACTGAACAGTTCTTTGCAGCATTCTCTTCTGCAGGCTGACCAGTCCCAGAATATTCAACCATTATTCATATGATAAATAGCATCAGGTCTAACAAGAAATACGAGGCCACCTCTGATTAGCCGATAAATTCACAGCTACATACATTTAAATCTGAGCAGAGGTTGGACACCACCTGTATTGGCCTCATTATTTTACAGATGAGCAAACTAAGATCCATGGAGGAAAACTGTCTTGCCTGATTTCGGAAAGAGAGACCAGGGGAGGGAGAGAGGGAGAAGGAAAGAAGGAAAGGAGAAAAGAAAAAAGAAAGGAAAGAAAGAAAAAGGAAAGAAGGAAGGTAGGAAGGAAGAAAAGAAGGAAGAGACAGACAGACAGACAGACAGGAAGGAGGTTGCATTGATACCTGAACCCTAGTTGTATGGCTTCCAATTTAGAGTCCCTTTCACCTAAACCCATGTCTTATTATTCATAAATCACTAGCTTTTCTTAAGTTTTTGAAAGTGCTTGAGAAGTTTGTTCTCTTAGGTATTTCAAAAATTCTCTCTTCCAAATTATACTTGTGCCGTCAATAAAGCAGGGATTAGCACTGAGCTGGACTTAGGAGAGGTTATACTGTCAATGAAAAGTATCATTCAAAGTGCATTAATCCTCCTTGCTCTCTGCTACCAGTAAATCAATGCCCTGGCCTTAGAATTCCAGCTCAAAGTGGACAGCGCATGTACAGGGCCACCTAGGTCAAATTACCCCAAGGTCCAGCCTCTGTTCAATTGCATTCAACTTCAGAAGTGGGAGTGTACCTGCCAAGGTGCGGGGAAGGCTCTGTTTCTGTTCTACTCAGCTATGCAGACTTTCATATCCTCTTTTCAACTTGGCCTGGCTCTCAGACAATAAGATGAAGCAAAAAGTCAGAGGAGCAAACGAGGCATTTCAGTGATTAGCTTCCTGTCCCAGTCCGGGGCCACCCTGCAGTCACATGCTCTGGAGGGAACATTCCTCCCTGCCCCAGCCCACAGCCATCTCCCTCTTCTCTCAACAAGGTATTGCATTTCCAGCTCTGCACTTGTTCTGGCACACGTGAGCAGCAACCTCCCACTCTTTCCTGCTTTGCGTGATACTAGCTGCACCAACCCTGGAATCTCACAGACCTGGGTTTGAGTATTGAGTCTGTAGCTAGCTGGCTGTATGACTTTGGAAAGTTACTTAGCCTTTCACTGCAAGATGCAATATGGATATCAACCAGTTCCCCCAGGATGAATGCAATTATTCTGTACTGCAAACACATATTAACAAAAAGGAAAAAAAAAAAAACCCCAACAATCAGAGTAAGAGTAAAGTAAAATAAATATCCCCCAAAGAAAATTACTTAAACTTTCTAAACCACAGTTCCCTCATGTATCAAATGAAGACAATTATCCTACCCATATCCTAAGATTGACATAGAAGGTGTCCAACATAATCCCTAACACACAGTTAGATTCCATATCATGTGTCCGTTCAGTATTATTAATGTAATGGTCCAGAAAGCTGATAAACCTATACTTTCTCATGTTGCACACACGTGTCCCATGAATACCCCCTGATGATTCTGGTCTAGGCTCTATTCAGCAGTACGTTCCCCATGGGACATATTCTAGGCACGGTGTACGGAGGTCTCCTATGCCCAACTACCCTTTCCCAGATTCGATCCTCCAGTGTCTGCCTGGGTAGGCAGGCCTGCCTTGTCCTGCCACTCCTCACACTTGTCAGCTTGCATCTCAGAATGAAGTCCTCATTTGACAGCCTCTGAGGACTTGCTGTCCAGGCAAAGGAAACTTCACGACAGATGACGAACCCAACACACACCTTACATAATCAGTGTGTCAGAAAGCAGAGGGACAGAGGGAAACAACACTACACAGAAGTAAAAAGCTTTTCAAGACCCTTGAAATTGATCAGTGTTCTTGTATTTAAAATACTCCAAAATTTTGTGTGAGTGTGGCTAAACTCTCCTTTCTGGCTAGGAATTAGAATTAACATTCATAACTGATTTTTTTGACATTACATTAGATATTTGTTTAATAGACTGTACCTATAATATTGACATTATTTATCAATAATATTTATTGTCTTTGGGACTTACAAATAATGACAAGTCTCCAAATTTTTTTTTTTTTTTTGGTACAGGGGATTGAACTTGGTTCCTTGTACTTTCAAGGCAGGCCACCAAACCGCTGAGCTAAATCCCCGGCCCTTCCAACTTTTAAAAAACGTAACACTGGGACATTTCTACCTAGAATATTTTCAAATTCTTTCCATGTCATCAAGAGTTAAAAAGGGTCTCTCAGCTTCTGTAAAAGCAGAGGATATGGATTCTTGCTGAGTAAAACAAACAGTCACTATTGAAGATTATTTGTTCGTTCTTTGAACTTTGTGTTAATGATCCAAAAGAAATAGAAGCATCCACAGAACTGCATTTGCTATGTTACAGCCCCTCCTCTTTCAAAGGTGAGGGCAGAATCCAGTGACAACGTGGTGCTGGAATGCAGCTAGGTGCCCTCCTCTCAGTTCTATGCAGCATCTGTGGTTGCTTACCTGGGGGAGCTCATTCCCCTCACAGCCTTTCAGTTTCTTTAGGTGATGAGCTTTCCCAAATCCAAGACCTGTGAGGCTCTGGGGAGGGCAAAGAAGCCGGCCAGCCCATCTCGGCGGGTGGGCCCAGACCAGCAGGAGGAGAATGTGATAGAAGGTATGAAAACCTTGAACAGACGGAAAAAGCACTGCATGGCATTCATTCTCCAATTATCTTTGGAGAGTTTCAAAAACAAGGGCCTATCCTTCTCCCAAGAGGTCAGTGCCCGTCCAAATGCACTACCACAGAGCTGACAGGAAACAGGGAAGAGCAGTGCTTTACTGGTTGGGGACCTCGGCTGGCATAGAAGGGAAGGCAGAAGTGGAGTCAGCTTCAAGAGAGAGTGAAATGGCAATGAACCTTGTGGGCTGATCCTTCCCAGTCTGGTGTTGCCAAGGAGGACGATCCACGCCATGAAACCTGGGCCAAGCTCTGGCGCAGACACACAGGCAAAAATAGAAAGGGGCTGTGACAAGAAATGTGTTTACTTTTGTGATCTCCCTTCTGTGCCTCTTAACAGTATTCTAATCTCTTTGCAAACAGGCGGTGAAGACGTATAGGCCTCGCCCAAGTTGATAAATCCTCCCAAACAACTCATATACTAACCTAAAATCTTCTTACTGCCACTATCTGGACAGCTGGAGAACAAGTTTAGTAGGCAGAATGACAGAGTACAAGGAGTGCTAGTCTAGCCTGTCACTAACTGGGTGGACTTTATCAAATTCTTCTCTGTGACTCTCTACAATACAGCACTTGCATTAGTTTGAATGTAAAACTTTGTTTAGAGATTCAAAGTTTATATCAGTAGCTATCTGCTAGGGACAGTTGCATGCCTCAGGGGTATTTGGCAATGTTTGAAGATATTTTTGGTCTTCCTGACTTAGGGGTGCTATTGGAATCTAATGGGTACAGGCCAGAGGTGCTGCTAAGCATCTGAAAACGTAATGCATGGGACTGCCTCCTACAATGAAGTGTTAACTGGTTCAAATGCTAATGGTGCTGAGGATGAGAAACCTTGGCTTACAGTTCAGGGCAGAGAGTCAAGGGGAGAGGAGTGGGACAGAATTGAAAAGGAAAGGCAGTTAAAATCCTTTTTCTAGGTAATGAGGTATTCACAAGTAAAATGTTTTCCAGCCTTGTTTGCTCTGACCAATGCCCTCTGATATTCTCTAGAAATTATAGGGCTCTGTTTGGACAGCTTTTGCCCAAGAACATCTTCATCTGGAAAATGACAAGCTCTGATGCAGTACAAAGGGTTCCACTATAGACACTGCAAAGCTGTAATATATACACTTTTTAAACAAGTGGAACTGGAAGGTGGTTGGTGGGTGTACGCCGAGGAACAAAACATATGCCCAGAAGTCTGTTTGTATGAGTCAGGGTTTCTGAGGTAACAGGATAGAATAACAACTGTAGGATGAGCTGAGCTAAACTGAGAACAGGTGAGAGGGATATGGGCACCAGTGTTGGAGAGATACAGGTTCACAGCCATGAAAGGGTTAAGCAATCAGTGCCTGCCGTTCTTGTGTCATTCTACACTAAGCCACTGGGCAGTTATTACAAATAGTTACCTGTGGCTTCCAGTGGGAGAGGCAAGGACACTCCAGTCAAGGGTTTTTGGAGAAACAGGTGCAATGAAGTCATGGTCAAACAATTTATTTACTGTAAACTTTAGACTTTGCTCAGGAAAACAACTGAAGCTGTCCCTCGAATCCCTGCCTACAGCCCTCCAGTAGAGCAAACAGGAGCGGGAGGGGGGGAGTACATGTTCACAGCTGAAAGGTCTGAGATACTCAGGATTCTCAAGTCCAAGGGTGCAGAAAGGAAAATCTCCTTCAGATACAAAATTACCAGCAGCAATACATTACCCCTAATACTTGAACAATGAGGTAGATACAGAAAAATCATCAAAACACAGACTCGGGTCCTCCTAGTTGAACACCCTTCAGACATAAACTTACAAGTTCCAAGCAAAGAGGAACTGAACTGTACAAGAAACAAATAATAACTCAAATGTTTTTCTTTTATACAGCTTAAAAAATTAAAAAAAAGCAGAGGGATACCCTCCTCCTGCAACTCTCTATACAGTTTTGTTCTAAATTTATTACACTCAAGTTAAATAGTCTAGTGTTCTGTTGAGGGAAGGAAATTTTAAGAAGTAGAAAAGCTGCATTACAGCAGTGAGTCATTCGTACTACAGTTCCTCCCTTGTGAATCAATGCTATCACTAGGCACAGTACCTGGACAGTTCACAAAGTCTCCTGTGCCTGGGGGGTCCTCACACAGCAGTTCCCTTTCTTTTTCTTGCCCCTGGTGACATGCACTTGGCTCGCTGGTGTAGTCCGTTTTGCAGTTGCTGTTGCTGGAGTAGCCATTCCCAGAAGCCTTCAAAGAAGACCTGCGCAGACACAGCAGCTCCTGGAAGGCAATCCTGAAATCTGGGCTCCGGCAGTAGATGAGGGGATTAAAAGCAGAATTGACATAGCCCACCCAGTTTAGGAGGATGTAAACTTCCTTAGGGATGAGGTTGTCTCGAATCACGTGCACGATGTTGACAATGAAGAAGGGCAGCCAGCAGAGGGTGAAAGTGCCCATGATGATGCCTAAGGTCTTGAGAGCTTTGTGTTCTTTCAAGTAGAACTTGGAAGACCTGCGAATTCCATGCCCACTCCGCCCATCCTGTTCCACCTGGCCAAGATTTTGGGTGTGGAATCGGCCCTCCGATCTGTCAATTTTTTGGAGCTGTCTTTTGGCCACCTGGAAGACCCTGGAGTAGACAAAGACCATGACTACCAGGGGTACGTAGAAGGACACGATGGAGGAAGCAATGGCATAGGCTTGGTTCGTGAAGAAGTCACAGCAGGTCTCCTTGGCATAGCAGTTGATGGCTTCCTGGTGGGTGGCCCGGTACCAGTGCATCTGGATGGGCAAGAAAGACGTGAGGCCCGACACAACCCACACCATCAGGATGACCACCCTGGCCTTATTCTTGGTCAGCAGGCTCTGGTACTTGAAAGGCGACGTAATGGCAAAGTATCGATCCACTGCGATCACACACAGGGTCTCGATGCTGGCGGTGACACACAACACATCAATGGAAGTCCAAAACTCGCACCAGAAGTTGCCAAAAGTCCACATTTTCATGAGGATGTGGCTGGCCCCAAACGGCACCACTGCAAGGCCCATAACTAGGTCGGCACAGGCCAGTGAGGTGATGAAGTAGTTGGTGACCGTCTGCAGGCGCTCGAACTTGGCAATGGCCGTGATGACCAGCACGTTGCCAAACACGATGGCCAGGACGATGAGCGACATGACGATGGCCATGCCCACCACCCATGCCTCGTCCCGTTCCTGCGTGACGTTGTGGTCCGGCGCTTGGCTTGCGTTGGGCGCCAACACGAAGTCGCTGCCGTTCCCAAGGTGCCCCATGGCGCGCAAGGGAGCAGGTGAGGGCAGGAGCTGCCGGCACAGCGGCCGCGCCTCAGCGGGCGCCCCTCCGGCGGGGCGCTGCTGGCCGCGGGAGGACGCCTAGAAGCCTCATTCAGCGGCCGTGGGGTGGCTGTGGAGGGGCGCCTCCGGCACGCTCAGCTTGTGGGGTGCTCTGCCCGCGCGTTCCAGCCTGCGCCCTGGAGAAGCCGCCTCAGAGTGCGCTCTGCCCGTTATGTGCACAGGACTTTAGGGAACTGCCCTCCCGTGACGTGAGCCAACTTTCGGCCAATGGGGCTCCGGCAGCCCCGGAGGGGCGAGGCGCCGCTCCCCTTCCCCGCCCC